TCAACCAGTGGCATTATTTGCTCTGCCCCCTTGTGGCTTCAATGACTGCTTTAACCTGGTGATGACTCACCCCTGACCTATTCCTTCTCTGCTCTTCAAAAGTCTTATTGTGACTGAAGCTGTTCTTAGTAAGGTGTGAGGAGAATCCTTGCTGAGTCATAGATACAAATGGCTTGGGGCCTCACCTTTCTGGAGGGATTTGGGACAAATTCACTCATGCTGAATGGGAAGAAAGCTGAGTAGCACTCTTAGAGGCAGACAAAAGTGTTCCTTGTTGCAGGGACCTAGCATAACAGAGTTCCCTTCTCTCTGGGATGATCCCTCACAGTCAAATCCAGTTTCAAAATCTTAATTCTAGGAATCGATAACTAGTCGAGTCAGAGTTCTATATCATTTTTTTAAGGATGCACATTCTACTCTGATGCTAGTAAAACTCGATGCCCTCCCTGAGAGATGGTCCAGATTAGCTTGTTTCCCATTCTCCCTTTCTGCACGCATTTGCCCTAGAGATCTGACATATCCTCCACTTCTCTCACTTACTGTTGACTTGACTTTGTCTGTCAACAAAGAAGTGGGTTGTTCTTTGAGAGGGAAACGAAGAGACTGACGAAGTCTCAATGCAGAAAGGCCTTGGAAAGGGGCTGTTTTGGAAGAACTTTCAGAACCAGCTCCTGGTATCTTTGTTTTAACTCAAGGGGTAAGGTTTCCAGGTGTCACTTAACATCTCAGCTGTTTTCCTTTGGCAGCAGGGATGGTATGGGCCATGCCTCTCTGCATCCTCCTACCAAAAAACTATTTTACAAAACTGTGAAAAGAAAATGGAGAGAAGTGCATAATACTGCCATGTGACCTATATAGGGTTTGAAATGTGTTATCTATTAGAATGGTGACCCCCTGACAGTGAATTGCTTAATCCATGTCTTCCTCTTAAAAGTATACACTTTCCTATTCTGGTTCCCTTTGAGGAGTGTGTGTCTCCGTGAGACAATTTGGCATTTCAGTCTCATCATGTTCCTTTCTCTTCTAGCACTATCCCGGAGGTTGGCACCCAGGATCCCAATGCTACAAATAAAGCAACTGAAGTGCAAGGAAGTTCAAAGAGCTAATAATTTGTAGGCATAGTATTTGAATTTGCATCTTTTGACTCCAACTGCAGGGATCATGCCACACTGACAGGTTATAGGGGCCCAAAATATTTCTGAGGAATACACTAGTAAATAAGCCAATTTCTGTGATGTAAATAATTCTACCATTGCTGATTTCATGCAACCAAGGATGATGCTTCTGAAAGTGAAGCTGGGAAGATCTGTGTACAATGGGCTCTGATGAACCGTTGTCTTAGGAGAGCCTGCTTCTGCATTGTACAACCTGTCTTCAAAGCACTGGAAACTATAACATGTATCAAAGAAATCAACCAACTGATCCATGTAAGATGTGTATAGATTCTGAAAAGGAACTCTGGAATTGTGGGGAATAAGAAAAGTACATCGGAGGCAAAAGATCAGGAGCCAACTATAGCAATCTGAGGTCAGAGGCACCGCCTATTGAACAAGATTCATCTCACCTCAAGGATAATGTGCACCACTAGTCTAGTGTAAGCTTTTGCCCCTAAGAGAATATTTGTATCATCTACTCCCTTGCAAATTCTAAAAGATGACACCTAAAACTTATTTATAAACTTTAGCCCCACTCAGGGCTCTGAAAAGCCATCTTTGCATTGTTCCAAGGTCCAGCTCCCTGATGCTATTTGGCCACAACCACCTCTGTAGGACTCCAGCAGCTTTATCACCAGAGTCCCTGAACTCTAGTTTTCTTTTTAACCCACTGCATGGGATCACTGGTGTACCTACTTCACCATGTCAGATGCTGCCATGGGCACTCACTCCAAGATCACCACCAAAGATGTAAAGAAGGAAGTTGAGGAGGCAGAGAAAGGAAGGTCCCTGATAATGGGAGTGCTAAAGAGGAAAATGCGGAGCAGGACAGGGAGGAGGAGGGAAAGGGGGAAGAAGAAGGGGAAGGAGGAGAGAGAGAGAGGGAGGAGGTGATGATGAGGAAGAGGATGAAAATTAAACTTAAAAAAAAAAAAGTCCATCATGACCTGTTCACCCTTCACATCCCATCTCAAAATCTACATGTGATCACCTTTTTAGCAGAGAGCCCCACCCCACCCCATAGACAGTGCCACCCACAGATGACATGCTCACTACCCAATCAAAATCACATGTGCAACAGGGGAAGGGGGAAGAACCCAAATTTCCAAAGCCCTGTTGTTTTTCTTAGGAGCACTTTTTAGAAGGGAATCTTGTATTTTTTATTTATATTTTATGTTTTTGTACATGTTGTTAAGGGTCAGCCATTCTTAATGATCTCAGATAACCAAACCTGCCTTCAAAGTATTCTTGGTCCTACTTCTGACTTTACTTGTGGTGTATCATGTTTCTTATAATTTCAAAGGAGAAAAAAAAATTGTAAAAAAATCCTAATTTTATTCCCAGTAGTATAGTACTTTAGCTGTACTATAAGTAGTTGGTTTGTATGAGATGGTTAAAAAGGCCACAAACAGAAAGTTTTCTCTCTCTTTTTTTTCTTTTGTCTATGAAGCTACTGTTAATTTTTTGGTCTGTTTGATGTTTTTGTGAAACAATGTCATCCAACAATAAACCAGAATTTGGGGCTGGGGCTGGGGCTCAGCAGTAGAGTGCTTGCTTAGCATGTGTGAGGCAGTGGGTTTGATCCTCAGCACCACATTAAAAAAATAAATAAATAAATAAAGTTATTTTAAAAATAATGTAAACACCCAGAATTTTATGTTGCTTAGTTGTTCTAAGAAAAATTAAAAATAAACCATGTTTTAATAGTTGCAAAAGTTTTATCTTATTTTCTATATATTGGAAAAATGATTTATATGTTTGTTTGCTATTCAAACCTTGAATAGCAGAACCAACATTACATTTACAGAAATATCTGCCACAGAACCTAACCAACTTCATTATCAAATCAGGCAGCCAGATCAGCATGCTATTAGGAAATATCTGACTTCGTTTTTTATTTCCTGAACATGTGTCCATACATGCCATGCACCCTGTCCCCAGGACAATCTTCTTACTCCTTAATTGTATCTCTAAAACAGTGGGAAAGATGAGTTCCAAAGCCTTTGGCCTGAACGTGAGATGAGATCAGGTTTGCTTCTTGCCTGGCTTTTAGTAGACTCTTCTTCAGGAGCAATCAATGTGTTCTGAAATTATTCCTTTGTGTGATGCAAAGAGAATTTTATATACCTGGTACTTTTTTTTTAGGCTATTGGATAGAGCAAAGGGGAGGGAGGTGAAAGGAGGGGGCTTGGAGGTAGGAAAGATGGAGACTGAGATGGACATCATCACCCTAAGTAGGTGTATAAAGACATGAATGATGTGACTCTACTTTGTGTATGACCGGAGAAAGGAAAAATTGTGCTCTATATGTGTACTATAAATTGAAATGCATTCTGCTGTCATGTATAACAAATTAGAATAAATAAACAAATTTTTTAAATAATAAATAAATGAAAAGAGATTTACCTGGATGCAAAGTTTGTCTTTATAAAAATTTTTAAAGGATTTTAAATGGAAATTGAGCATCTAGAAATTGATTCCCTGGGATGCTAACTATTCCACGTGCCCCTGGAAGTCTTCAAGCACCTTCACCTTTACCACTGTGTGCCATGTTCTAAGGACTTGGTCCTCCCTTCACAGTTGCCCTCTTCAGTATTCTTAAAATGGCTTCACTGGCCACTACTGAGGCATCTGCCCAAGTCTCTTTTTGTTCATTGCTCTCACCACCTTTCCTTCACCTTAGCAAACTTTCATGTCCTCTGAGAGACTGATTTTAAAGATGCATTAAATTAATTTATGTGAAGGTGTTCATGATTGATAGCCACTCAAGTTTCAAAGCAGGATTTGCATTTTTCAAAGAGAAATTTGCTTATCAAAAGACTCTCCCATTGGTTGGAAATCCAGACTAAAAATCTTTGGGTACTGATGAGGAAATATTTTGGATGATGCCAAAACATTTATTCCAGTTTAGATCTCTGCACTGGGAAACAGCAACTTGTTAAGTAGGGTCAAAGTCTGACAAGCAACATCCCATATCTTAAATCTGCAGAGTGGACCAACTGGGGAAAAAGTCATCAATATCCTGTAGATAGTCAGTAACTGATACTGTAATGCCAGAATGGAGGTAGGAGGAGATCAAGACCAACTTTACTTAAGTCCCTTTATCTTTGAAAATTCCAGCAAATCCAAATCTCTGAGTAGTTCTAGTCTATTCTGAGTCTCAGATATTTTCTTTTTAATTGACAAAATAGAGAAAGATATCCAACATGACAGGAAGGCCCAGGTGAGCCAATTTAGGAGACTCATTAGAAGAGCTGGTATTCTGAAGGTTATTTCAAGTCACACTGAATACACCCAAGAATAAAGTAGTCAGCTCCTAAGGGGGAAAAAAAAAAGGCCATATCCAAGATGATGCTCTTCTCACTCGGGCATATGTTACATTTGGAGAAGTTTGCTTTCTAAGTCTAAGGATCTGAATCTCACCTTCCAAAATAGGGCAGGAAAATATAGATTTCTGCCACTTGGCTCCACCAATTCAACAAATAACTCTTCACACCAAATCCATATCTCTGAATGTAGATATGAAGACTTTTAGAAAGAATCGCAAAAGGATATCTTTTTAATTCCACTGTAACTGTGACATTCAAATGACCTGATTATACCCCACTAGAATCCAGATAGAATTAAAGAAAATCTGTCATTGCAATAAGAAACAGAAATGAGGATGAGGATCTGTTCCCCCCCACTCCCCTGCTTCTCTATTACTTATTTTCATGATAAACAGCAGGCTAATAAACATCTGTTCTTTCTCAATGTCCAAGGGATCTTGTTTGCAAACATGAACAACCATTGCTTTGTTCTCTCTGGAGAAAACAAAACACTATCAATCAAAGCAAAGCTACATACCCAGACCTGCTGCGGCAGCTGCTTGTTCAAAACCGCATGTCATTCCCCTGCAAGCCAGAGCTCCGGGATGCTTGTATATCCTCTGCCCCTGCTCTTCTGAGCAGTGCTGCAGGTTAACTCTTGGAGGCTGAATGCTCTAACCAGGAAAGCCAAGGCTCCCCAACTTAACCACTTGCATGCTGACTCATACAGCAGTCAGGACGCACCCCTGCTGAGCCGGCTGAGGTAGAAACCCTTGCACCATTCTTGGAAGGTCACACCTAGAGTTTGTCATTTTGCACCCTGCAAGAACACGGCCTGGGAAGCAGTTATTCATTTTCTCAGACTGACCTGCTTGTCCTCTTTCATTTGGAAAACATTCAATTCACTACAAGGAGACTTGACAGAACAAATCAGCATGGAGATGTAAGTTAAGATTTTGGATGAAGGAGTTAAGCTCTGGGAAAGGAGGTGCCCCCACTTTTCTACAGAGACTGCAACTAGACGGAGGAAACTCATTGCATGTAATCACCTTCTTAGTTTGGGGAAAGCAAATAAAACAGTATGTGTCCCCTGGTGTCCTCCCAGGCAAAACCAAAAATCAACTTCCTGCAGTTTTGCCTCAGTTTTAATCTATATCAACACTATAGGGTTCAAAAGCCTAGAATTCCTAAAGAAAAGTGGTGCCTCTTCTGCAGTTATTGGTGGATCACTTTGAAAAGCAGCTTAAGAGGCAAAAACTTAATTCTAGGGCAAGTGCCTGGTTTTCTGCAGGCCATAACAGAGCCTGCCATGGGATTTGCAAGGAAGTCAAAGCAGGCAGGTGCAGCACAAATGGTAGGTAAAAATTGAACTCTCAAAGGCAGGAATGAAATAGACACGCAATCCTGTGGGAACTGGCTCTGGTTCTCTCTACTTCCTGCTGATTAGAGCCACAGAGCCACCTGCTGAAGTTATTAGCTACTAATTAGGCTCCTAGGCTCTGGAGTCTCCATTGCCTTAAGTACATCTAGCTAGGGGGCCTAAAAGCTCCAGAAAAGGGAGTGCAAATTCATCGACATGTAGAACAGCACATAGACTGGGTGTGTAATAGTAAAGGTGCTAAAAATAGCAGCAGCTACTATGCTGAAGGCTTACTGTATTCCAGTAAATGTGCCGAATGCTTTATATGTGTTCTATAACAAGGACCACTAGCTCTTCAATAAAAATCTGTGTTCCTTCTTCCTTCCCAGTCCCCTGCAGTCAGAGTAGCCAGGTAACTGAAATCTGGACAATGAAAGGCCTATACAGCCTTTCCGGTGTATGATTCTCCAGGTTTTATGCACAGATGGAGGAAGAGATCCACAGTGACCCTGGAGGCACTGGGAGGAAGAAAGTGAAAAGTTTCCATCAAAGCAAAGGGCCACATGGAGGAGAGCTGCTGAGCTTTGTAATCACTTTTAAATTATGGGGGAGGAGGGAGGGATTGTACATCATCCTGAAAATGCGTTTTAAAAATTTTGTTTAAGGGCCAGGCGCAGTGGGGCTTGCCTGTAATCCCACTGGCTCAGGAGGCTGAGGCAGGAGGATTGTGAGTTCAAAGCCAGCATCAGTGAGACCCTGTCTCTAAATAAAATACAAAATAGGACTGGGGATGTGGCTCAGTGGTCGAGTGCCTCTGAGTTCAATCCCCAGTATCCCCCACCCCCAAGAAATAATTCCTTTAGGGATATGTAAACACGACAGCTTGAAGACCACTTGTCTACAGAACAAAGGTCAGACTCCTTAACCCGGTGTTCATACTTGTCCCAGCCTAAGTCCTTTCTCTGCCATCTCTCCCGGTCATTCTCTCACTCCAGGCACTTTGGTCTCCTTACAATTCCTGAATTATCTTTCCTACCCCATTCCAATAGAGAATGAAAAGGTAACGTAACGCTATGTGACTTTTGAGACTGGATCACATGAGGCCTTGAAGCCTCCACCATGTATCTTGGGAAATTAGCTCTTAGAGTCCTGAGTTACCTCCTAAAAAGTCTGAAAATCCCAAAGCTCCCATACTGGAAATACCATATATAGATGCTTTGGTCATCATCTCAACTAAATACATCCTTCCACCCCTTCCACTCATCCCCACTAAAGTAGCAGATATGCAAATGAAACCATCTTAGATCATCCCAACCAACCCATCTACCAGCTAAATACCACAAGTGCTCCCCATCAGTGCCCCATGGAACAAAAGTCTCACCCAGCCAAGCTCGCTGCTCACCTTGCTGGACCACAAAGCCATAGACTGTAAAGAAAACAAAAATCATTGTTTTAAGCTATGGTGTTTGGGTAGTATGTGACATAGCAAGAGATAAGAGGAACACCCTCCTTCAGGACCCAAGACAGGGTCCATGTTTTTCAAGAAGCATCCTCTGACCACTCCACCTCATTTCTGAGTTGTCTGATCCTTTGACATTCTGGTCTTGACTTTTTTTTTAAATAAGAAGTTGTCCTTTTCCACCTGGGCTCTTTATAAGGACCTTATATAATAACTTTTGTTGAATGTTCATTGGCTGAGACAAATCCGTAAGGTGGAAGGCAGGTACTGGGGTTTAGTGGTGCTCTGTAACTGGTTTTTTGTTTGTTTGTTTGTTTTGTACACCAGGCGATTGACTGCAATGGCCAAGTAGTATGTAGTCAATCTAGTATTTGTTCATGTATTTGCTAAATGCCGGCTACTTCGCAAGGCAATTTTAGACCCTGGTGATAGAGTAATGAATGAAACAGTCTTTCTTTTCACAATGCTTGCATTCCAAATGGAGGAAGACAAACAAAAAATGCAATTAATTATAATCTGTTAGGTTATGAGTGCTCAGAAGGAGAAGAACGCAAGATAAGAGGCAGGAAGTTTTTTATTATTTATTTTTTTATAGCATAGCAGAGTGGTTCTCTCTAATAAGGAGATCTCAATAGACACCTGAGGGGAGAGGGAAGAAAAATTGTCATATTTACACCTAAGAGGAAGCATTTCAGGAAAAAGGAGTAGGAAGCACAAGAGCCCCTAGACAAGACCATGCGTGATGAGTTGAAGAAAAAGAAGGTGGCCAGGATGACTTGAGCAGAGAGAGCATGAAAAGTGGTCAAGATGGGCAAGGGGGGCTGGGGATGTGGCTCAAGCGCCTGGCATGCGCGTGGCTCTGGGTTCGATCCTTAGCACCACATACAAATAAAATAAAGATGTTGTGTCCGCCGAAAACTAGAAACCAAATATTAAAAAATTCTCTCTCGCTCGCTCTAAAAAAAAAGAAAAAAAAAAAAAAGATGGGCAAGGGCGGGTGTAAAGGATGGAGGCCAGGAAGTATTAAGTTCAAAGTAAGGACTTCAGATTTTTCTCCAAAGGTGATGGGAAGTCATTAGAGATTTTTAAGCTGAACAGTGGCATGATCAGGCTACTAGAAGGCTTTGTCTATTATCTACCTAGATTCTATGCAGAACTTGCACTATACAGAGGCGAGCTGCAAAGCAGCAAAACTAATCTTGAGGCTTTTGCAATATTCAAGAAAGAAACTTAAGACTGGAGGATTGGACATAAAGATGATGTGAAGTGATCACAGTGTTTGAAGGCATAGACAAGAGGATTTCCTGCTGGGCTTAGGATAGGAAAGTGAAACAGGGGTCAATTTCAAAGTTTTTGGGGACTCAAGAACTGACAGAATGAAGAGAAGTGAGTTTACATAAAGAAAATCAAAACTTGGGTAGCTCTGCAAACAGTTCTGGAGGGATTTTTAAACTCAAGATCTTAGAAAAATAGCTGAGTTTGGTTGAGAATGATCTAACATATTAAAGATAATAATAGACAGAGATATTTCCTGAAAGATGAAAACATTTTTAGATGGTACAGAGTAGACATCTTTGTTTGTTATACTTTTTTTTTTTTTTTTTGGCAGGGGATGTTACCAGAGATTGAAGCCAGAGGTGCTTAATCACTGAGCCACATCCCCAGCCCTTTTCATTTTTTATTTGGAGACAGGGTCTTGCTTAATTGCTTAGGGCCTTGCTAAGTTGCTGAGGCTGATTTTGAACTTGTGATCCTCCTTCTTCAGCCTCCCAAGCTGCTTGGATTATAGGTGTGTGTCATTGTGCCTGGCTTGTTATTGATTTTGATGTGAATTAGAAATACAAAATATATAGAGTAATTTTTAATGTCATTTAAAAGATTAATTAAATCACAATAAAAATGATAAATAATTATGGGGTAAAAATTATGTATGTATGTGAGACATGTGCTAATGGATGAGTTTTGGGTAATAGTGCTATGCAATTTAATTTAGCTATCTTTAAATCTCTGCCAATGCATCTCTTCTGATCTACTGTCCATAAGTTGGCTGGATGGCTTCTATGATGCCCACCACTCCATGTTTTTCTGCATGAGTTCTGCTCAGGGGCAGTTTCCTCTGTACCAAAAGCCAAAAATAGCATTTGTAGGCTATTCTCACTCTATATTCCCATATAATTGTTCAAAGTTTGAGCCCTTATGTGTTGATCGATTTTTAAAGAATTTGCTTTCCTCCAATAAGCTCTGCATGAAACCAGTTAGTGCCTTAATTTCTCCATCCCCAGACAGCTAAAGGCTGCAGGCAGCTTGGCCTTCAAACCCCACAAAGTGGCCCATCTGCATCTGCATGTTGCTCCTGTACCACCATGATTTTCATCATTCAGCCAACAGTGTTTGAGGAAAGAATATCTTCCCGCTTTGAGAGAAAAATGGAAAGAAGCTATTCCATGAACCCCAGAACATGCCTTGCTACCTACAACCTCTGTGATACGCATAAGCCCTTCCTTTACATTCAGGACCCGCCCTCAAAACCTTATGCAGTAGCTCCAATTACTTTTCCCACTTTACAAATAAAATAATATTGGAGGATCAGCTAGCCAGTGTGCAAAGTCACCTGGCCCACAGTTGACATAACTGTAACCCTGAGTTTTCCAACTAGTTGTAACCCTGAGTTTTCCAACTAGTTGATGAGGAAACCATTAACATTTCTCAGGGTTACTTCACTATAGTTGCAACTCCTCCCTCACTTCCTACATCCAGGACAATGTGATGAAAATTCAGTGATGACTGTTTTGGCTAACTACAGGGCTTTTGTCCCCCTTGCTGAATGTGTGTGCAGACT